ATATAATTGCCGAACTCGTCGTACAAATCGCCGTCCATTTTGTCACTGATTTTATTACTATTTAATTGTGATTTCAATTCAATTCACAATTTGTTTCACTTTTTAATCAAAATCTCATTTCAAAAAAAGCATTGAATTGTTTTGTATTGTTTACGAATAGGAGTCGTTCACAAACACTGTTATCGCAATAATTCATATAATAATGATTAAACCCTTCATTAAACTATAAACTGAATCAAGAAATTATTTGTAAATTGCAATTCATTTTATTAATTAAATTGTAATTTATAGACATTAATTATAATCAAACATTCATTGATTTTTATCCAAAATTAAACATTTATTTTTAAAGAATATAAAATACATCGAAATATTTTTAAAAATCAATTTCTATATAAATAAATTATAAACTTTATTGAATGCAATGTATATTAAATTGAATTAAATCTTAAGATTAAGTTTGAATACATGAATGAAACGATCGTCACTACAACTGGCAATATAGACATCAAGAGAATCGTCGGCTTTCTTCTCAGTTTTCGGTGAAAACTGAATCCGATTAACAGTTAATGTGTGACTAAAATGGGAAATAAATATACATTACTTAAACATTTTGGAAAATTATTAACCAAACTATTCGTACCAATCGTTGATATCAAGTAAATGAGACCAAAATGTTTGACTATTCCAGTAATAAAAGCTAATAAATCCGTTTTCGAGTCCAAACGCAACCAAATAGTTATCATTAACAGTGATGTCACAAATATCAACAGTTGTTATTGAATCCAATAGACTGAGAGGCGGGCCGATGGCTGTCACGGGTCCTAACGTTGACTTTTGAGCGCATTTATTGGTCAAATCAATTGTCCAAAACACTGCACTCTTATCTCTAGAAACGGTAACGAAGTGTTTGCAGTCGGGAGTGAGAGCGCAGTCCCATATAATACGAGAATGGATTCCATTCTTTTTGTCTGTAAATCCGATTCGACAATAATCTGATCCATTGTCCTGTCGTTGGAAGAGAGACCACGTTCTGTCTCTCGATGTACTCAATATATATCTGTCGTCAGACGAGAATCTGATTCGAGTGACAGTCAACTGATGGGAGGAAAGTCTCGACAATAGTTTAGCCTCTTTTACGTCCCACAGAATTATGTCCGCGTTTTCCGCTTTACTAGCCTTCGAAGCCGAAGCTATTAGTGTTCCGCTTCTATTAGAGGCCACACTAAACAATTCAAACACATGTCCGTATAGTTTGTGAATTTCGGGCCAAAGCGTGTTCTGGAGAAGTGACTCTTCAGTCGGCGGCACTTCTAATATCGTAGGCTTAAACTCGTGGTCCACTTGTTGCGGCTCATAGACCGCGGTGTTGGACAGACCTAATGTGGGGACAGTTGCGCTGTGAGGCACGTCCTTCTCATCCATATCATTAGAGATGTCAACATTTGAGATGTGTTTCAAACTTTGGGCAAAACATTTGGTCGCTCTGAAGAGACGAAGCACTTTCTCATCGGCTCCCGAAACAAATGTGTGTCGATCTATCATTGCTATGCATTTAATGCCATAGCCGTGAATCTGAGGTCTCGACATCTCATGCCATGAAATTTTATCATCGCTTCTGGAGCTCCAAATGGCGTGCAATCGTGTCGTTTCATCGGCCGAACAGCTCAACAAATACTCGCCCTTTGGTTCCCACGATATGTCAGTTACGGCATCGAAGTGTCCACTGATAGCAATATCAGGTTTCCATTCATTGTCAACACATCTCCATATATGAAACGCGCCGTTAAAACTGTGACCGACTATCAGATTAAACTGTGTAGAGGAAGCGCATCCCAAGAAGCCTAATGTGTTTCCACCAATTTCTCCAACTCTGAGACATTCAATCCAGAGATCATCCAAATTGTGTTCTTCGGGTGACTGCCATAAGATCATTGTCTTATCCATTGAAGCGGACAGTAATTGAAATCTATTGTGAGAAAACTCATGCCAACGAACTTCAGTGACCCAACCCTCGTGTCCGGCCAATACTGTCTCCAACCGAACCGAATAATCATTGCTTACATCTGTAATAATTAGTTTAATTATTTCTCAATCACAACACAATCAAAAAGTGAATTCAATTGCATTTTTAAACATACCTTTAGTTTTGGCCGAAAAGATCAAACTATTCATATCTGAGTGGTGTCTGTCATCTATGCGTTCAATTTGATGGACTCTAATGAACGAGTCTTGAGACGATGTGGCGATCATTAGACTCTCTAATTGTGTCATTCAATCAATTAATTTCAAAGACAATAGTTTAGTACAAAACTTACTATTTTTAATCTCCAACACATCGATGGCACGAATCCAGTCTTCGTGTCCTTTGATTTCAATTAAACATTTGATTTGATAATCACTTTCACTGAATTGATACAAATTAATGGTTTCATTTGATCCAACAGTCAATATAACGATGTCATCAAAAATGTGTTTATTTTTAACAATTTTAAAATCAAATACAAAACTGTCGACAAATAATTCCGCGATTTGTTTGTCATTCAACCATATCTTAAGACATTTATCGGTAGATGTGGTCAAAGAAAGCAACCGATTGTCACTCAACTGATAGGAATGGCTCAAAATAATAGACTCTTTATGTCCTATCAATCGGTAAATCATTTGATATGTATTTAAATCCCAAACGATTGCCGTCTTATCGGCCGACGAACTGATTACCAGATGATCGCTATTCGCAACCCATTTAACACTATTTACTTGACTCTTGTGTCCATTCAATAGTTTAATCACTTTATAAGACTATAAAGAGAAGGAAAGGAAAACAATTAAATTAATTGTCAAATCAAACGGCAAATCAATAGCGAAGGCAAACCTCAACACAATAAACAGCGACACTATATTTGGCCGCAAAACAAATCAATGCATTCTTGCAGTCAATACAATGCGAGTAACGATTGGACGAAACGCTTATGTATTCATTGGAATAACTCATGGGTTCACTCATTATTACAATTCAAACAACAATTAACTCACAAAACAATACACAAACACTTTTGAGGTCTCTTTAAACACCGATTGTTTGGACACATGTGTGACACGTGACCATCAAAAACAAGGTTGCGTTGAGTGCCATCTCTGTAGCCATTGTATGGATTCAATCATTTGTATTGAGCCCTCCATTGAACACAACATCACTTTTTTGTAACACACTTTCATTACACACACAATTGGTTTCATAATTTAATTAGTTTTATATTTTATATTAATTTGTTTTAAGTTTTATTTAATGATTGCTTGAGTTTAAGAGGAGTCGAAGTTTCGTATCGAAAGGTAAATGTATTTACAGTTAGTTTTGAACACAAAAACATGCTTTGAATCAATGTATTGATTGACTAAACAGTGATTTACTGTTGTTTTGCTGTGAAATGAATGTCAAACTAAAACTAGTGTTGATTTCATTTGCATTTTCATTGTTTGTCGTATTTTTTTGTGAGTTTTTCATATATTATGTGATAATATGGATGTGTCGGTCGCCGCCACTCACCGGTCACACCATTGCTGGCCAACCCGTGTCGGCGATGGTGTTGTCCGACACTCACCTCTTGGGTCGTCTTCGCGGCCATTGGTTTGACAAACTTCGCCGCGAATGGCAAATGTATCGCTCGTTTCAGACATCACTTGACTTGTTCTCACCACAAGTGGTGATTGTTTTGGGCGATGTCTTCGATGAGGGGCAGTGGGCTTCCGACCAAGACTTTGACACATATGTCGATCGCTTCTATCACTTGTTTGGCGTCGATTCGGACAATACAAGAATGATTGTCGTTGTGGGCAATCATGACATTGGCTTTCATTACTGGACCGACAGATATCTGCGGCGACGGTTTGAATACGCGTTCAACACAACAGACGTTGATTTGATTGAATTGGCAAATGGTGTCCATTTGGTGGCAATCAATTCAATAGCACTGGAAGGCGATGAGTGCTACTTATGTGTCGGCGCTGTACACAAGTTGACCACAATTGGCGAACACTTAAAGTCGCGAAACATATCACCCATTGTTTTAATGCATTTCCCAATGTTTCGCGACAGCGAAGACAGATGTGTTGAATCCGATTCTCTCTCTTCCGTTGAGCCAAAAATTGCCAAAAATAAAGAAAAAATTGATTGTCTTTCGAAAGAGTCAACAAATCTAGTACTAGAAGTCTTGAGGCCACGACTGGTACTGACCGGACACTCGCATTACAGTTGTGTTGTGACACACGAGTGGCGCGAACCGGACGTGAAGAGTGTGGTCGAGTGGACAGTGGCCTCATTCAGTTGGCGCAACAACAAGAGCCCCAGCTTTCTCTTGTTATCCCTCACATCCGATGACTATTCCCTATTCAAGTGCTTCCTTCCCAATGAAAACCTCGTTTTTCTCATTTACTTAATTTCATTGTTAGCATTGATTTGTTTTAATATTCACACAATTTTTGTCACTTATTACACCAAATATAAAACCAATTGATTGTCAATTGATGTGATTCTTAATTGTAGTCTTAAGTCGTGTTTTAATGATTATTTTAACAATATTTATACAATTTATGCCAAAAATACGAATTTGAAAATAAAAATGAATACTTATTATATACTATAGGCTTAGAAATGATGCACTTTATGCTACTGTTCAGCCGTCAGGGAAAGCTGCGGCTCCAGAAGTGGTTCGCCGCACAACCGGACAAAAGCAAGAAGAAGACCGTCAGAGAACTCGTCACTATTATTCTCTCCCGAAAGCCAAAGCTTTGTTCATTCCTTGAGTGGAAAGACCTTAAAATAGTCTACAAAAGGTAATAAACTATACGTTTATATTGTATGCAATACTTATTTGTCTCATAAGTTACCAAACATTATGAATTGTTAATAATTTCATTACACATATTGTCAACAGATATGCGAGTCTTTACTTCTGCTGTGCTGTCGAGCAAACAGATAACGAATTGTTGACTTTAGAGATAATTCATCGTTATGTGGAACTGTTGGACAAATACTTCGGAAGTGTGAGTAATGCATATCAATATTTCGATGATAACCATTAATTGTTTGATTTGTTATGAAAAGGTGTGTGAATTAGACATAATCTTCAACTTCGAAAAGGCGTACTTTATTTTGGATGAACTCCTAATCGGTGGTGAGATTCAGGAGACGAGCAAAAAGAATGTCCTCAAAGCCATAGCAGCGCAGGATCTGCTCCAAGAGGTATACATTTTCTTAAATAATAAAATGATTTGAAATTTTGATTAGAATTTGACTCTAAGGACGAAGTCGTCGAAAATGCTTTAAAAGAGTTTGGCTTATATTGAATGCACGTTAGGATCCGATAGAATCTCTCTCTCTCTCTTTTGTATTCAATTTTTGTGATGCTTTGAGTTTTGCTTTATTTTCAAATTAATTCTTGTATTACACATAACGCCTTCTAGTCTTAACGCACTGTTATGTTAAATCAGACAATCATTTACTAAATAAAGAGATTATACTTTAATATAAACCAAAATTATGGCTTAATTTGACTCAATAGGAGGAAACCCCTCAGGGATTCTTCGAAGACCACGGATTGGGTTAACAACACTTGCATTTGATTTTTATCCATTAATCAAACTCTTTGGTCAAAATTATTGGCAACTTTTTATCTAATGTTAAATTTCGTATTAAATTATCACTAAATTATTTTATTTATTTTTGGTTTATTTCACAATTCAATCAAATTATTTATTCAAGTGATAGATATTTATAATAATGTATTTTTATTTTCATTTTCTATTTACTAAAAAAGCAATAAAATGTTTCAGAATATAAGTTATAATACTTAATAATGTTATAAAAAACTATGAAAACTTTAAAAATGCTTTATTAAATTGATTGATGTTTTCCAATGATTGGAATTTGGTTTAAAAAGTTATAAATATTTTCAATAATTAACAATAATCGCAGTAACTTTGGATCACAGACACGATTGTAAGTTTTCAGTCATTGCCTCTCAACTAATGAGGGAATTGGAGGGAACGGCTGCTATAGTCGATGCACTTCTCGTATCATCCGATGGATTGTCAATACTTTCATAATTGCATTCTTTGTAATCTATTTCCTCGAAATACTTACCAATTCTCGGCGTTTTAGTCAATTGTGTTAAACCCAACACAACTAATAGGCAACCGCTCTGTGTATGAATTAAATATACATTAAATGCTATACATTTGTGAAACAATTTATCGTTTTGAATGTCTCACCAAATATATTAAGAAAAGTATATAATATATGAAGAAAAGTCCGGTTCCGATGAATACCCAGACATTGCTAGCGAAGTGTTGGCTCACATAATTCAACACAAAGTATAGGTTGACTGCAATGACAACAACAGAGAGGACAGAAGCCAACACTTTATTGCCGAATCCATTGACGAAATCTCCCATCACTTTAGGCGATGACGTGAATGTGAGCGCCGGTAGTAAAGCGAAAGGCAACTGAAGGCTCATCAGAGCGTTCAGCAAATCATTCATTTCGCTTAAATTGTTTAGATTTTGGAAATACGTGATCAAAAGTGTGGGCACAATGGCAATGGTTCGGGTGAACAGAACCCGCTTCCAACGCGGCCAATGCAGATCCAGAAAGCCCTCCATCGCGAACTGACCAGAATATGTGCCCGTCATTGTCGACGACTGCAATTGCAATTACATTAGCATTACATGTCATACAATGTCTATAACCAAATGACACCCACCTGTCCCGCGGCGAAGATACCGATGGCCCAAATATATAGCGCTTCGATGCCGAACGTACAGCCGAGAAACACTCCCGCTTTATATAGATTCGCGTCCACTGTTTGGTTGTCGTTGGGAAATGTGTCGCTTTGGCTGATGTTAGCCCTCAGACACGTCTCGTAGACGTCGGCGTTTGTTTTTTGGTACAATCCGTGCGCGAATACAGCCGTCACCGCTATATTAATGAGTAGAGACACGAATAGAGCGATCGCCGACTCGATGAACACGTATCGGTTGGCGTCGCGCACCTCTTCTTTGTTATTACGGTTCACTTTACGTGATTTAACGAGCGCTGAGTGTAGATACAGATTGTGTGGCATTATTATGGCGCCAATGATACCGACCGCTTGCATCAACTCATCGGAACCGCAATCCTTACAAAACGGAAGTGCCAGCCCTTCCAACACTTGCAACTCATTGGGCTGTACTTTGAAGTATTCGTAACCAAAAGTGATGGCCATCGATGTGCTGAAACATTTCATCACACATTATAACATATGCACTAAAAGTTTAACATTTTTTTGCATTACATAAGGAATCCGAAAAATGCCTCCAATTTTCTCAATCCGTATTTGTCGAGCAATAAGAAGGTAAAGGTGTCTAAAATTGTTATTAAAACTCCGGCCCATAAAGGTATCACTCGATTAGATAATAGGTATAGAGATATAGCGGTTCCAATAACTTCTTGCATATCGGAACCAATAATTGCGATCTCAATCATAACCCAGAGGAAAAGTCGTGGCATTTTATGATAGCGTCTGTAACAGAGTTCAGCCAAATGCAAACCCGTCACAACACCCAAACGCGCGGCCAATCTCTGCATTAAAAGGCCTAATACTGTGGACCACATGAGGACCCAAAGGAGTTTGTATTGAGCTATAGTTCCCGACTGAAGATCCGATTGAATGTTTCCCGGATCCAGATATGCGATACTCATCAGAAATCCCGGTCCCGTAAATGCCCACAACTTTCGCCAACTGAATGAATACTGAAATCACAATTACATTAATCATTGAGTCAATGGGTCGGCCGTATGGCATACCGAAGGAGTATCGGGAACGGCAACTGTTGCCATAAAATAGGTGTCAATGTCTTCAGTTTTGGCAGAGTTGCCATCATTTGTCTCATTAATCACTCCATAATTGGGTTTTTGGCTTGAATTCACTGTAAATGCAAACAAATGGCTCAATCAATGTCAACAACAACTGTCTGAAGACTTACATTCTTCCTCTTCGGATGTGATAGCGTTTTGATTATCACTATTAGACATGTCTTTGAGTGGATGTCCGCGAGTTTCCTAACGATAGACCAAATGTTATTTCTTTAATCTCTTGCGTCAAATCAAATGCTAGACAACAACTAATGTCTCAAATATTTTCATTTCTAACTTATTTATCAATTCATACGCTATTTATAGCAATATTTAAATCATTAATAAATTAAAAACTAAAACATATTTTAGAAAAATATCGCTAAAAAT